CCCCCCATCCCCCCCCACCCCCCACCTCCCGCATGCTGGCAGAAGCCTGCAGAACTGCTGTAGTCACCCAGACTGGGGTGGTGGCTCCCTGTCCTCCCTCAACCTTTTCTTTATTTAGTGTCTAGGAAACGTTTTGGACTTTCGTCAGTGGTGTACTTCTGCATTTTGTTTTCTCACCGAGTATCAGCCCTTTATGCACATTTTTTCAAAAGTGACTTCTAGCAGTAGGAAACCTGTTAAATGAAGGTGACAGTTTACCTGTCATCTTCTATTGGATATTCAGGCTGTTTTTAACTTTTTGTTATTGTGGACATTGTACCAGTGGGTTTGTGAATGCATAGGTTCATCTTCTTGTGCTTTTGAGAAGCTTCTCCCACCGTCTTCTAAACGTCTTCCCTGCATCTGTTGGGCTGGGTTCTCATTCTCCTCCTGCAGCAAGGTCAGGTTTTCTCCTGCCCACTCCATCCAGACATTGTATTGGCCAACAGGCAGGGCCTTGAGGGGCTCCCCAGTTCTCCCTGCTGCCCCCTTCATGCTCTGCATGGCCAGAGAGCCCTGTGACTAATCCCAGGGGCTATGTGTGACCATCCTTTGCCTCTCTGGCAGAGTCTCAGTGCTCCCCAACACATCCCAAGAGGTGACCTTGGTCAGATACTGAGTGACAGCTGGCAGCAAGACACCTAGCCCCCAAGTGGGGCAGCTTGGGGACCAAGGACCACTAGTGTCTTGTGCTCCTCAGTTTTCCCAGTTAGCTCTTATTGGCCTCTGCTGTGGAAGACGCTGGTCTTGGATCTGGATCAATCCTAGCTTTGGTTTGTGAGCTTTGACCTCCTTCTGTGTCTGCAAAGGCCATTTAGATAGCAAGTTGGGAGAGACAATGGACTTTTTTAAGACAAATGCTTCCATGTTGCTGGGCTGCTTTCCAAAGCTATGCCATGGGTCTTGGATTCAGTCATATGGGGTGGAGCTGGCCAGGGGCTCCTGGGCTGTGTTCCCAAGACAGCCAGCAAGCCCTTCCCCCACAGGCCACCACAGCTGCCTGCGTCCTCACTCCAGTCATCAATCTGTTGCTGTATGTGACTGTGGTTAGTGGTTCACTCTGGCTGGTATGCAGTCTCAAGTGAGAGTTGCCACAGAGGTTTGAAGCACTCGCCCCTCCTCTTCCTGTTCTCCTTGACTGTGACCAGCCCGAGTCCCTTCCCCGTGATGCTCTCCCTCCACTGCCAGCCCTTACTACCTGCAGCAACCCTGAGCCCCCAGGGGTTGGGTGTGCCTCCCTGCCGCACACCTGCACCCTTGATGCTCCTGCGCCCCTGAGTTGTGGCCGCACACTGTAGCCCGGCCCTGCAGGTTCCTCCCATCTCCACCCTGTGTGTGACCCAGCCTTGGCCGAGACTCCCATCCCAGCATGCCTCCCATTGAGCCTCTGCTTCTGTCCCAGCTGCCGGCACGGTGGCAGGCACGAGAGAGGCTACAGTCAGGGCATACCCTGGGAGGTGCCCAGGGACACTCATGCCCTGAGGGCTGAACAGGGTCCAGCTGGATGCTGAACAGCAGCAAGAGAAGGTGACTATCTAGTGAGTGTGGGTGAGACCTCAGAGGACAGTGGCCCAGGAAGGAGTATGAGTGCCAACAGGTAGAACCGGCGGCCAGGGAGGAGTCTGGGCCAAGTCTAATGTCTGTTCTGGGGACTTAGGAAGGTCCATTACAGTGGATGGGTTCCCAACAGACCTTTTATATGTCTGCAGCTTTTTTGGGCGGGCATTTGAGAAGGCAGCAGAGGGCACCAATTCTCGGACGCTGCACAACCATTTTGACCTCTCAGGTAAGAGTTTGCTGTACTGGGGCCCTTTCAGGGTCAGCGCTGGCCTTGAACTAGGGAAGCTGGCATCGCTAGAAATACCTTGCAAGCAGCCCTCATTTTTTTGGAGCCAGCCCCGGACCAGGTGGCTCAGGGAGCTCTAGGATGCCCCTGCCTCTGGTGGGCTCCCAGGGCAGAGAGAGAACGGGTATTGCCCATAGAGCCATAAGCCTGGCTTCGGCCTTACAGTCCAGCCCTTGAGACCACTTCACAAAGGAGTCCCGAGGACTGGCCTCTAGAGCCTCCTGGGCCAGCCTCACCCATCAGGGTCACCTGCCTCTTCTGTGGGTATGGAAACAGGGCTTATGGCAACCCAAGAGCACTGCCTCTAAGGCTATGCTGGCCACCACTGCAGGCCAGCAGCTCTTATCTGTGTTATCATGAAGGGTCCCACGTAGTCCTGTGACAGCCCAGGTACTGGCCCCACCCTTATGTTGCATGAACCCAGAGAATGGAAGAGCCCAGTCCAGGGGGTGGCTTTGCAAGCTGGCCAGTGCCCCCCACAACACCCCACAGTTTTCTCCATAGGCCAGCGTGGAACATGGTTGACATTTAGCCATATTTACTTTTTATTCTCACTGACAGATTTTTATTTTTTATTTTTTTTTATTTTTATTTTTTTCAACATTTATTTATTTTTTGGGACAGAGAGAGACAGAGCATGAACAGGGGAGGGGCAGAGAGAGAGGGAGACACAGAATCGGAAACAGGCTCCAGGCTCTGAGCCATCAGCCCAGAGCCCGACGCGGGGCTCGAACTCACGGACCGCGAGATCGTGACCTGGCTGAAGTCGGACGCTCAACCGACTGCGCCACCCAGGCGCCCCGACTCACTGACAGATTTTTAAGTAAAACAGACATGGTGACCCCTCACCCTTTGTATTAGTGTGCTCGGGCTGCCATAACATCATACGTAGACTAGGAAGTTTAAACAACAGAAGTACTTTTCTCACCGTTCTAGGGGCTGAAGTCCAAGATCAAAGTGTACACAGGATCGTTTTCTTTTGAGGCCTCTTTCCTTGGTTTGCAGATGGCCGTCTTCTGGCTTTGTCCTCACACAGTCGTCCCTCTGCGTCCCTCTGTCTCCTTATAAGGGCCCCAGTGAGACTGGATTAGGGCTCCCCCATATGACCTCATTGAACCTAAACACCTTCAAGAGCCCCCTCTCCAAATAAAGCACGTGCTGTCTGAGGCGCTGGTGGCTAGGCCTTCTACTCAAGAACTTGGGGAGAATATACTTCAGCCCATAACCCCCATCTGTGAGAAAGGACAGTGTCTTTCATCACCATCAGCTGATTTGTTACAATGAGTTCCTACCATCAGTGACCCAGTGTTTATCCCAGCTGCCTCAGTCATCTAAAGCCAGCTCTTTCATGCTGGGCCCACTTGGGCTGTGGCTCTATGTTGGGTGGGTTCAACCCCAGCAGCAGCACACACCAATGCGGGAGATGTTGGTGCTGGCTGGCCTGCAAGATGTCCCAGCTTCTCACAGAAGATTTGCGGGCTGGGAGTTACTCGGCTTCCCCCATGGGTGGAGAGCAGTGAGGAGGGACACGGCAGAGGGAGCCAGGCCAGCACCCACCTGGGTACACTGGGCCTGGGGTTCCAGATGGCTCACAGGACCAGGCTGGTCCAGTTTTGCCCTGTTTGATGAGGGTCCATGTGCTTGTCTGAGTCTGATGGCCCCCCAGAAATGGAGGCAGTTCACATCGTGTCCCCCTTGTGCAGAGGAGAGCACTGAAGCCGAGAGACTGGCCAGAGCAAGACTCAGGGCCTCCTGCAACCCATGATGGGGCAGGGCTCTGTGTCCAGCAGGATGGGAAGGCCTGTCTCTGCCTAGATCTTTTCTAAACTGTCACATCCCATGTCTCCCTTACTGGCTGTCACTGCCAATCTCCTAGCTGCCCAGAGGGTCCTCCCCATAGACTATAAGCCCAGCTAACCTCACTAACAGGGCAGCCAGCAGTTTCTGAGGATTAAATACAGACAGTGAAGTACAACCTCTGAGTTCAAAATTTTCCAGGCCTCAAGGAGCTGAGTACATTTTGAAATGTGCTGGAGGGTGGTTCCCATCTTGGATGACTCGGAAGAAGGAGTTCAAACACCCTGACTTGTTTTTCCTACTGCTCCCTCACCCTCAGCCCTACTCCTCCACCTCACGAAGTGTTTTTCTTTCATTACTTCAGTAATTGAACTGAAAGCAGAGGATCGGAGCAAGTTTCTGGATGCACTTGTTTCTCTCCTGTCCTGATGGTGAGATGTGGGGGAGGGGTGGGGTGCTGGAGAGTTCAGGGGGGCTCCCCAGAAGAGGCTGGGGGTGGCCCTGCCACAAAGCCAGCCTTGTTGAAGTGTAAAGAGGGCCCCTCATTCCCTGCTTTGAGTTTTTCCTCCTCAAGCCAGGCTTTTCTACTTGGGTTTCAGACCCAAGCAGTGTTCTAAGATTTGGGACCAACACATTTTTCCCAAGGATGTCCCTGGGCTGGCGGCAGTGCCACAACGGGGCATTTTTGAAAGAGCTAATTTCATTAAGCTTCCTGGGACTCCTTCAGCAAGAGCTGGCATTTACCCTCTCCTGACCACACTATGGGCTGGGCATCAGTGAATGAAATACAGGCCTCCTGGCACTGCCGGGAAAGAGGGTGACCCCTGTGGGCGAGGGGGGCAGGGGAGGGACACCTGGAGCTTTGCTGCTTTTTGCAGCATTGTATCAGGCTCTGGGCAAGAGCCCACAGAGGCTCCTATCTGGGCTCTTGTGCATCTGACTTAGGAGAAAACAAAGCTGTTGGCAGCCACTCATCAATAACTATAAAATGTCATCTCTGTGGGCCTGCACCAGCATGAGGCTGTCACTGGCAGTCCACAGTGATGCTCACCAGCTGGGGCTCTTTCCAGTGCCACTCATGCCATCTCTCTTGAAGGGCCCCCCACACAGTGGATGCTCACACCCAGCCCTGCATCTCCTTGAGCCCTGGGCTGGAGCCACTGCTGTGGTAGACAGGCCTTGTCAAGACTCTGAGGTAGGGGTGCCCTTGTTCTGGCCCAGGGTCTTCCCGCTCCCCCACCATCCATAGTGAGTTGGAAACTGTGGAGGTGCCTTTCCCCTGTCAGGGCCCCAGTGGGCTCTGCTGAGAATGATATAGGGGGTCTCAGGGACCCCACAGTCCCTCTTTCAGAGTAGGCTAGGGTATAAAGGGGCTCGTGTTGGGGAGGAACTTTGGACTCAGACCCTTCGGGTCTTCAGCAAGGTCTGTTGGGTACCTCACCAGGCTATGACGGGTTCCTCATCTGAAGTGGGGCTAACACCCCTTGGACAATGAGCACTGAGCCTTCAGATGGGGGCAGGGTATAAGTTTATGACCCAAATCAAAGGCTACAAGTGGGGGCTTTTGGGTGGGGGGCTGGTATTTGAAGCATACTCCTCCCCTGCGGCCTGCTCAGTGATGATGCCAGTGCTGCTGTGTGCCCTGCCACCATGACAGTGTGCACAGTGAGCCAGCCAGGAAGGTGGGTGGGGGGACAGTATGGGGAGACGTTCCAGGCCAGGGGAGAAACCTTGTGAAGGTACCACGGGGCTGAGACTGGACAGGGCACTGGCAGGGTCTGCAGGGCGATATAGTGGTGGAGGGCCATGAGGCCTTGGAGGTTCTCAAGCAAATGACAGCCTGGACCTGGCCAGTGGGCACTTCAGTTCTGGGGCGGCCCTCCACCCATGGTCACCACTCCTCACCTGTGTGAGTGGTGGAGGCTACTCAGAAGCAAGCCCAGCATGTCAGAGGCAAGGCCTGAGCAGTTTGCTTAATTTGGAAAGACATTAGAATTGTTTGAAATTTACTTTTTTTTTTTCTTTTCTAGAGTTTGATTTCTTCTGATGTGTCCTCCTTCTCCTAATTTATATTAACTGGGTTTTATTTAGACTATAAGTTATGGACATGGTTTTAGACACCCACAGTGGGTTTTTAATGGAATAAAATGTTTGTTTTAGCTTTGGTGCCTCAGTCTTGGCTCTGGTCATAGGGACAGCACTTGTTTTTGTCTTGAGCCTTCTGTGGATGTGGAGGAGCCTTTTCCTGTGTCCTGGGTAACCTCAAGGCCCAGCAGTAAACAGCATGTGGGGGGGCGGTAGCCTACAGGCTCCCTGGAAAGCAGGGGGTGGTGGATGTCGGGTGCCTCAGCACCTGGGCCTCTACATACTTCCTGCGCTGACCACTGCCCAGTGATGCCAGCCAGGACCTCACTCTGCTCTCCCATCACTTCTTCCTGTCCACTTGGCCTTGGCAACATCTCAAGCCCACCTTCTTGACCGTGTCCCCCTGCCAGGCCCACCCTCCCACAGCCATCTTACCCTCCAGCACCTCCTGTCCTGGCACCCCCATAGACACACAGCACCCCCAGGCTGCTGGGAGAGTCAAGCAGATAGCAAGGGCACAGTCCTCACCTGGGAAGGGTGTGGCTGGCTAAGGGGCCCTGGACGGAGATGGCTTAACTGGCATCCGGGTCACAGAAGGTTCGAGCAGGACAGGACCTTGGCAACTTTCAGAGTCTTCAGAACAGCAAGAGTTCTCAGTCAGGAGCTGTGTCATCAGTTGGTGGTCCCACTCTCCCAGATGTCCCCAGAGCCCTGGCAAGGGTTGAGGGAATCTGGAGGCAAGGAGGATGCCATTCCTGCCCTTTAGGTAAGAGAGAGCTGTTGACATAAGTGTCTGAGGCTATCTGGCTGTTCTGCCTGGAGTGAGGGTGCCAAGGAAGCAGGCTAGAGTGACACAGCCACCTGGGTGTGGTGCCTGGGGCCCTGGGCAGGAGGAAGCAGAGTGGTTTAGGTAGGCTTTAAGTTGGTGGAAAGCCCCAGTGGCCTGGAACTGAGGACATGGGTGGCCAGGTCTAAGGGTGAACTTTGGAAAGGGGCATAACCTTTGGAAAGGTTGGCCGCATTGGAGGCTGGCTCCTCCTGCCTGACCTCTAGTAAATGGAATGTGCTCCTGGCTGGCCTGGCATGAGTCAGGCAGCAGCAGCCTAACTCCTCAGGGCCCTCAAGCTGCCCACCTTGGCCATTCACATCATTGGGACTGTGCTGATGCCTGGGTCCCAAAGGAGTCAGAAAGCTCTAGGCTTGTGTGGGATGTAGCCTTGGGCCTGCACTCCTGGCCAAACACCAGTGTGGCTGGCCCCAGGAGTTAAGGACCTTTGTTTCAGCAGCCCCACCAAGAGCCAAGGCCCCAGATTCACACACTCTTGCATTTGAGGGTTGTTCTGTGGTCCTGGCTACACAGGCCCGGGGGGGCTACTGAGGACCTCTATGCTATGGGACCCATCTCGCTGCAGCTCATCCCATTGCAAGGAGCTCAGGCCACCCAATAGTTCAACTCACTGGCTCTGCTGCAAACCCTGGGATTCAGAGCAGTGTTCGTCGCAGCTGTCCTGAGCCCATATTCTTGGGTTCTTCCCTACAGTGGGGAGTCTGGCCAGGCTTGGGAGACTGCTTGCCACTGGATTTGGCCCAAGCATTTCTGGACAGGGTCCCCAAGGCCAGGGTTGGGGGCAGATGCCAAGCCTTTCTGCTGCCTGGGCTTGGAGCTCCTCCCTACAGACCCCTCCCTCCCCCCATCCACAGCTGTCTTTTGCCCTGGCCTTTGGCAGAAGTAAAACTGCTTTCATTCCAAGCACCTAGAATGGGGCTGGAAGCAAGGAGCTCTCAGTGACTGCAATAGATAACTCTGGTGTGCTCTGTTCTCCTGTGACCCCCCCCCCCCCAACCCCTGGCTTCCTGGCCCAGGCGAGTACTGGCTCCCAGGGGTCCCACTCACAGGAGGAAGGTTACACAGGGTGCTCCTGGCAGGGGCTGGCACAGAGGTGCTAATGGTCAGTACAACTCTGGGCTGGCTGCCAGGCCAGCTACATGAGTATGGGCCCTGCAGAGTCTGTGCTGAGACTGGCAGAAGAGCCAGGACAAGGGTCTGGAGCCTGGCCCGGGTACTCTCTCAACCTGCACAAGTGCCTCCTCCCCATAGCAACGTGCTTGTGGACCTACAGCTAGCTCTGCTGGAGCCAAGCACACATCCTGGAGTTGCCCGTTCCTGCTGCACTGTTGACTGAAAGGTCCCAGTCAGTGTTTTACAGATGTCTGGTCATTTGCTGTGATCCACAGATAGGCGAGCGCTGGTGGAAAACACCCAACCTGTGGTGCATGGAGCCAGGCCTCTCCTCAAAGCCAGCAACCTGGCAGCCCACCCTCAGCACTTCCTGCATCTGAAAATGCCACACTGGCTGGTGGCTGGGGGACCTGGGATGGGGGGAGTAATTTCCAACCTGCATCCTCTTCTGGGGTCTGCATCACCCTCCTGCCCCAGGCTCTTCTAACTACAGATCTCACCTTCCTGGGTTGCTATGAGCTGTAGCTATTTTTCCCACCCAGTGGGAAGGTGGTTGAGTGGCAGGGAGGACCAGGGATAAGGCCATACATCTTCTGGGTCCAGGGACAGCCCTGGGAGGTCTCCAAAAAAGCCTTTCAGGGAGGAGTTGGCGGGTGGGTGAGTGGATGAGGGGTGCTGCTGGGCACTTGCAGTGACTGGACAGAGGACAGGACACAGGTGGGAGGGTATTCAAACCATTTACTAAGCAAATTCTTACCCTCCCCCACAAGCTGCAAAGGAGGGCAGGGCCCTAGCTCCCCACGCAGGATCTAGTGCCCATAATCCTCTCCTGGGGAGCTGCCGGGGTGAGGCAGGGAGGTCCAGGCCAAGTCTTTCAAGGCCCCCTGGGCTCAGGCCCCGATCTTGGGGTAAAGGTCGGTTGTATACAGCCCTCCGGCAGTCCAGGCTGGGGTCCCTGGGCTTTCCGTCTGCCTGGCTGGAATCAGCAGGAGCCGCTGGGGAGGATGGCGGCATCCAAGACCCTGAGGGTTGGGGAGGAAAGCGGCATTTCGGTCCATTGTCCATTCAGCCTAAGGAACCCCGCGCCCCACTCACATCGGAGCAAGTTCTGCGCACCGAAAAAGAAACCGAGCAAGTCCTTCCAAGTGCGTGGCTCTTGTTCCGGGCAGGGCCCGGCTAGTGGCCGTAGAAGAGAACGGGCTGCGGGCGCGTGAAAGGTCTCAGTCGGCCGGTGCGCCGCGTCCAGGGGCAGAACCGGCCATTCCGCGGAGACTGTGCGCCGCACCACCTAGCATAGGCTGCGGTCCATGCACGACGCCCCTGGCCAGTCGTCCCGCTTGCGGGAGTGGCCGGGGTGAGGGGCCCCGCCGAGTCCAGCGCCCTCAGACGTAGTTCTTCTTGTCATAGTCGCCGCTGGCCGTGGGCCGCCGCGGAGCGGAGTACTTGACCGGGAAGCTGAAGTCGGGGCGGCCAGCGCAGACCCAGGCGCCGCAGCACACGAGGCCGCCGCCGCACATGAGCAGCGCCGAAGCGGCCCAGCCAATGTACAGCGCCGCGCCCAGTTCGTACTTCTGCGACATGGGCACGGTCGGGTCGTAGAACTCACGGACCACGATATTGGCGAACCAGCAGAGCGGAACCAGCGCCAGCAGCCCGCAGAGCGCGTAGAGGGCGCCGCCTGTGAGGGCCACGCGCGCTTTGGCCGGGCCTGGGGCCACGCAGGTAGTGCACTGCGCGCCCGCCAGGGTCACGAAAAGCGCGACGAGCGCCAGCAACACGGCGCCCACGGTGAGCGCCCGCGCCGCCTGCACCTCGGTGCTCAGCGCCAGCACCGAATCGTACACCTTGCATTGCATGTGCCCGGTGCTCTGCACCACGCACGACATCCACAGCCCCTTCCAGGTGGTCTGCGCCGTCACGATGTTGTGGTCCAGGAAGGCAGTCACCTGCCACATGGGAAGCCCGCACGCCAGGATCAGGCCCACCCAGCCCACCAGGCACAGCACCAGGCCGAGGATCTCCAGCGCGGCCGACCCCATGGCTGAAGGCGAGATGGGCGCCCGACGGCCCCCGGGCCTCCGGGCCTCCGGGAGAGCGCGGCGGTGCCTCGGTGGAGCGGCTTTGTAGCCTGAGAGGGCCCTGGTGCCTCTGCGCCCGGCTCACTGCCGGCTCACCGCCTCCCGTCCGCCGCTCCAGCAAGTCTGCTCCACCGCCTCAGACCTGCGGGCGCCTCCTAGGGGGGCTTCCCATTTGAAGGTTCGGGGGCGGACCCTGCGCTGCGGATCCAGCCTCTGGTCCGCGAGTAGCCAATCCGTGCACCGGCCGTCGACCCTCAACCAATCACAGCCACCCCCGGCATCCGGAGTTAGGGAAACAACTGCCTAGGGGGTAGCGGAGGGCGCGGGGACCACTCCTCTCCCGGCCGCCGCCCGGCTCTTGTCCAGAGCTGGCTCCGGACTGACCTGGGGTAGCTGGGCGCGCGCTCTGCGGGCCCCCACTCCCTGTGTCCCAGCCTCTCCATTTCAGGGAGCTGTATGACTGCACCAACTTCTCCGGCTACATCCAGGAATGAGCCCTTGGGAGGTCTCTACCACCCAAGCCAGCTCCACTGTACCCCTCACCATCATCGCCTTGCAGAGGCTTGCGTTGCAGACTCTTGTCCACCGACAGCTCCGCCTATTACTCCAGGAATCTCGCCCTGGAGTCCAGTCGCATCCCCAGTCCCTTCTCTGCACCTTTACTGCGCAGTTCCTCTCTGAGTCCTGGCACTGTGTCTCAGAGACCACAAGTCCAGGCAGGTGTGTGTGGGTCTCCAACCCAAGGTCCTGCCCAGCGCCACTGCCCACTCTGTCACCTTCCCCAATATGAAGCAGGTGGAACAGGGGCCTTTCTGCCGCCTCCGGAGACCCCCACTCTGCCCCTGTCGCCGGGGATTCCCGGACTTCCCAACCTTTGTGCTGGCTACTGCTCTCCCTGAGATGTTTTCCATCCCCCATTCTTTGAGGCCCAGCTCAAGCGACACCACTTTCAGGAAGTCCCCAGTGTTCTCCAGTGACTCAACAAACATGCTGTCCTCCTAGGAGCAGCCTGTGGCCGGGGGTTTGGGGGCGTCCTTTAGCCCTCAGGGAGGAGAAACACAAGGGACACAGAGGTGCTGTGCTCTGCCCTCCCACCAGTGGCAGTGGTACCCCTGGCACCCCAGGCCCCAGGCCACCCTCCCGGAAGCTAACTTGGAGTTTCCTGGCCAGGAGGAAGAGCCCCCATCCTCGCTGGAGGCGGGAGGCGCGGGATTTCCGGGCATTCTTCTGCACAATGGCCCAGCCGTTTTTCGAAAGGCCCGCTGGGATGGACACTGGGTCCCCCTGAGACTCAGGTGGGGGCAACAGACCCTGCAGCCCAGAACCCCATGAGGGCACCAGCCCCTTTCTGGCAGCTCCCTCCCCACTCCCCATCAGCCCTTTTGTTTCCAGCAAAATCTGTAATGTCTTGGACTGAGGTGGCTGGGACCTGGGTTCTTTCCTCTGGTCCAAGGTGCTTGGTGCTGCTGGACAGGGCCCTCCACAGAGAAGGCCTGACATTGAGGCCAGCCACAGCCTAGGAGTTTTGATAAATCTGTCCTTCCTGGGACCTGGTTCCTTCTCCTCCCCCCCTCATTTGGCTCTGAGATAAAGCCAATGCCCGGTTCAGCTAGCATGGAGAGGCACCCAAGGCAAGTTTGTTGGGCCCTGTGTGTGAAGGTGGGGAGAGGGGAGAAGTTTTAACCTTTTCCTCACCCCCAACCTCCTTATCTCTGCACAGGATGGGGCTCGAGGACCACCGCCTCCTCCCAGCTATCACCTCACTGCTTCCCTCCCGCTGCAGACTCATGGGCCATTCCCCTTCCACCCCGCAGACCTTCCTGGACATCCCCTCCTTTTGTCCACTCCAGGGGGCCCAGCTACACCACCCACCCCCTTCCCAATCCTGCTCCCTCTGGGCCTGAGTCCAGGGACCTTGCCCAAGTCCCCCACCATGCTCCACACTGCTCTTTTCCCAGGATGACTGCTGTAGCCTTCTCAGGCCGTCTGGACCCCATCCTTGCCCACTCAGTATGTTCTCAGAGCAGCCAGGCCATGCTTGCAGGCCCCTCTCCCAGGTCACACTCTGCCTGAAATCTGTCATGACTCACATGACAAAGTGATCAAAGCATTGACTCCTGGGAGCTGCCCAGGGTGATGTGTGCCTGCCTGTCTGCCTGCCTGCCTGCCTGCCTGCCTTGGGCCTGGCCAATCCAGCAGCACACACTCCATGCTCCATCCACACTTGTCTTTCTCTAGGCCCTCAGGCTGATCTTGCTCTCACTCGTGGCCTCTTCTGCCTGCAGTGTGTGTCCCTCAGGTAGGGGCTGCTCATCTTCTAAGTTGTGCTGCTGAGATCACTTGCTCTTGGATGTCTTTCTTCCTCTGTCCCCCAGCCCTACTCTCAGATGCCCAAGTTAGAACTGTCCTTCTGCTTAGTGATTTTCCCCATCAGTATCCAGGAATGAGCCTCCACACAGTGACCATCTTCATGCATCTGTCCGTGGCAAGGCGCTTCCTGTGATCTGTGGCTGACTTCTGGCTACTGCCACCCCCTCCAGCCAGCTTGGAGCTGCAGCCAGCATGAGGATCTCCCCCTTTGCCTGCCCACCTGCCTCCTTCACCATGGCTCTCCCAGGGTCCACCTCCAGCCTGGCACCCCAAGGTGGCCCCAGTGAGCCCTTGTCTCTTTGGGGACAGCTTCATAGTATCTTGGGGACTTGATGGAAAAGCTTCAGTCTCCACCTATCACAGTCTGATTTCTATCCCAACACCACTGTGTTGGTTGTGGCCTAGGCCTTTGGTGGAACCAGAGCAGCACAGAGAAAGCCCAGCCCAGACCTAGGAGGGGCGTGAGTGTGCACCTGCCCTTCCTTCTACTCGTGGTGGTCTTGTGACAACCTGCTGCGCACCAAGTACGGTCTCTGGGTGGAGAACACACCCAGCAAGCTCCTGCCCTCAACCAGTAACTGGGTAGGGCCATTTCAGATGTGCCCATGGCCATGGGGTAAAGAGATGGCAGTGTGATGCAGAGTGATAAAGCCATCTCTGAGGAGGTGACAGCTCAGCCAAGGTCCAGGAAAGAAGTTCCATGTCATAGTCCAGAGATGGGAAGGAGCACGGTGACTGGGGGGGCAAATGGAGCCCGGTGAGGTTGGGGCAAGATAGTGGGCCAGGGCCTGCAGGCTGAGGTCAGAGGGGTCCAGGCCTGGGCAGGGCCATGAATCCCTGATCTCTGGAGAGGAGCTCCCAGACCAGTGTGCCAGCCAAGGCCACCTGCTCATCTACAGCTATTGTTCTGCTTTCCCAGGGGAAGTGCAGCAGGATCTCATTAATTGTTTGAGGGAAAGGCCTGAGTCAGCAGAAAGTAAAGTTTATCTTGAGCAGCTGCTGACTGACCCAGAGCCAGGGGTGATCTGGTGACCTTCCAAGGACAGTCTAAATTTAGGCTCCTGATTCCTAGGGACTGGGGTTTGGGAAGCTCCTAGTAGCCAATTTAATTGCACAGGAAGTGAAAAACAACCTTCTATCTTTTGGCTTTGAAACAGTTAAGGATGTTTTCCCTCAGTGCAACAGATGTTTGTAGAGTGTCTGATCACAGAACACCTCCTGGTGCCCTTTCTTGGTGCTTCCAGAGGCAGCATGAATCCCCACATCATCTGGCCCTGCTCTGGGGGCCTACTAGGGGCACAGGGCCTGTGATGACATGCAGAGCACCCTTTGACAAACAGCTAGTGAATTCACAATTCAAACTAGTGAATTGGCCTCTCCTTGTCTTACTTTCCCCATTGATAACAAAGCCCTCACAATGGAGGCTGCAAGTCTGGAGGGGAGGCTGTCACCAATCCTGGGTCCTCTGCTGCCATTCCTTATCACTCTATGGGTTCCTGAGATGTCCTCCCTGGCTCCCTTGATCTTTGCAGCTCATCTGACTTCAGTCCTCAGAACAGGTGCCACTGGCTATTTGCTCAAATTGGAGGACATTGTGGCTTTTACTTCCCCAGTGGGATGGGGAGTGAAGGGCAGGGAGCTCTGGTTGACAGAGACCCAGGGTCCTGTAGGCCCCTGATGACGTCATAGATTGTACCAAATGGTGGTCTCTGCATAGGCCAGGGTGCCCTTGGGAGCATGGAGGAGGCTAGCCCATGGCAGTAGTGCCTCCAGGGACCAGAAGTAGTCCTCCACCCCACTCCCACTCCTCACCCCTCATGCCTGCACTGCCTCCATGGCCTCTCTGTCCACCTTCTCTCCCTAAACCGCTTCCTTCTCCTATTCTTTCCTTCTCTGCATGCTGCATTTTACAACAATTTTATATTCTTTCCACTTAAAATCATAAAGTGATTCTAGACCCGCCTTTTTTGTTTAGCATCATATAATAACCATGTCTACACTTTGTTAAAAACACCCTCATGATTACTATTGTTTTTAACTGCCCGGAAGATGGCCTTGGGGGTTGGACAGAGACAGGATAGAATCTATCTCCACCATTCCCAGGAGCAGGATGTGACCAGGGAAATCTGTTCTGAGGTTTTGTAAAATGGGGATGATAAGGATCAAAGGGTTGTCAAGGGACTGTCAAGGGGACAGTGTTCCCTAGCTCAAGGTGAATGCTGGATTAACATTAATGATGATGATTAATTATGCAATCATCCCTCAAGACATACTTTGATAAATGATGGTTTTTCTGTTGTAAATAATACTGCTGCAAAAGTAGGTCTTGGTATTTTGAGTGATTTCCTAAGGAAAAATTCCTCCAAGAATTTTAGCTCACATCCAGGAGGTTGTATCACATAGACCTCTTATCTGAGTGTGCATTTGCATTGCCTGTCACCAGCATTGGGTATCCACAGTTTTAAAAGTTTACTTATTGGATGGCAGAAAATGGTATCTTTAACTTGCTTTGAATAGCAATGTGTTAAAATTTTGTTTTAATTTATATTGCTTATTTTTATTTCCTCTGGTGAATTTTTCTTTGGTGAATTGATGTTTTT